TCTTATTAACATCTCTATCTAACTTCTTGTTGTAGCATTTGCCAGCATAGAAATATGGCTTAACTCTATTGTAAATAATAGTTATATTTGCATTATAGGTCCAATAGCATGTCTGCATATTGATAAAGTATTTTTTAAGTTTAATTGTGTTAATTTCAGAGTAGGTCTAGTAAGATCATAACTCTTAGAATGTTGTGATGATTGCATGTATCAATAATTTAAATTTGTGTTATATTTATAAAGAGCCTTGACGGAGATACTTTTGTTTTAACAGCTTGCTCTAAATAAGCCCTATATGTTAGCTTTAAAGTATAATATTTTTTTATCGTTATATATGGATGTTTGCTTGGTTTACTTACCATTATTTTATTTTATTTAATAACTTGTGTCTTTAGGTTGATATATATTGTTAACACAATTTTATGACGACATGCATATTTTTCCTATAAATTTGAGACAGATATAAGGTAAATTTTATGTTTAGTGATATTTAATAAGAATTTTAGTAGCAAAATATGTTACTTTCATATTTAAAGATCTTGAAATCTGACAGTGCTATTACATGCTTATGTTTGATCATGTCTTTAAGAATTGATCCTTCATTGGTAGTAATATCCTCAAATAAAGTTACTTGCAGAGTTATGCTACTATATAGGAAAAATAAAATTATTAATTATAATTTTTTAACTTATGTTATTATAACTAAGTATCATGTAAATATCTTTTGTCCATTATTATGATTTCCCTCCTCTTATCTGGCATATTATATCTTATAATATAGTTGATCAAGGACTTCACTTTAGTTTATGTTACAAGATTATTTATATATAATTTTATATTGAGTTTATGATTCCTTTAGTATTTCAAGAAAAAAGTATAAAAATTTATAAATACTTACTAAGTTTTCTTGTATCTTTCATGGAGAATGCTTTTTATATTAGGATAAAATTATTCAATATGTTCTTCAAGGGTAGCTCAGTTGATGCTTCTTTACTAGATATACCTTTTGTCAATATCAATTCAAGTGATTCATGAATGTTTCTGAATTTTGGGTTTATTTCCTTTATTTTTCCATTTGAAATAAGAACAACTTGATTCTTTTAAATGATGTCTCTGAATTTTCTAATAGTTTCTTCATACATAACTCATTGTATTTTTTTACCCTATAAATATTATTAACATTAGAAATGAATGTGCATACATTATAATCAATTAATGCTAACCTATTATATTATAGTCTTCTATTAGTTTTATATAATTTAGTCTTCTATCAATTAATGTTATTAGTAAAATTATATGCAGTTCCTTAAATATATATAGTAATGTTAAATTTTAATCTATCATATATTTTTTAATTTTTATTCCTTAACTGGATGGTATTAATCTATTATAATTGCTATTTTTTACTAGAAACAACTTAGACTACTTTTAGATGCTGAAAAAGAATGATAAACTTTAAATTAAAAGTTAAATTTATATATCTTAATGAAAGAATATCAAATATTTACTCCTTTCTTTGTTAAATCTCGAGCTTTTGTAATTTTAAACTTTGGTGAGTGTGTTGTGCAATTTTCTAAACTTTGATAGTATTTTTTAAAACTTTAAATTTTAAGTTGTGTGCTTATAACTTTTAAAATTTCAGGATTTTTTTGCGATTTTTAACTTTTGAGGGAGTTTTTGTAATTTTTATAAATTTAAGGTTTTTTTATAAATTTTAAATTTTTCGGTGCCTAATAATAATCCGTGGAATTCATTTATGTTGTTTGTAAGTTTTAAAATCTCTGAATTTTAGAATGCTTTTTGTAATTTGAACTTTTAAGGCTATTTCTGTAATTTTTAAAATATTAAGAGTGTTAATTATAAATTTACAATTTCTCGGAGCTATTATTAATTTTCAGGTTTTATGTTTGTTGTCTTAAGTTTTAAAAAATTAGGATATTTTGTGTAATTTTAAAATTTTAAAGATATTTTGTGTAATTTTTAAAATTTTAGTGTTTGTTAAATAATACCTCATGTATTATAATATGTTATCGATGTATAATTTTTCTTAATCTTATTTTTTTTTAAATTGTTGATCTGTAGATAGTTTATGTGAGGTTAATATAGGATATAATTAATATTAGATAGATTAAGATTTAAATAAAATATTTAAAATAATATTTTATGTAGTTTATTAACTTTTTTTTAAAATTGTTGAGCTATAGACAGTGAAAGTTCATGGGGATTAGATAGGATATAATTAGAATTAGAATATATTATGATTTAAATAATATTAAAAATAGTGAAGAGTAGTATTGACTATGAAAAGCTTTTTCTGAACTCCTGTTTTTAGTAAGAATACATGATGTATATACACATACTATGCGCACGCACACTATGACATAAGCTTTGGTCTGTCCTATTTTGATGTTTAATTTATTTACAAGGGATACTTGTGCCTATATCACCCACATGTTTGTTAGATTGTTAACGACTGATTCCAAATCGGTTGTAGTGCTTATCCGATTTTCAGATATTAGTTACGTTATGCAATTTCGTCGCCTATGTTATTTCTCGTATTAGATATTAGGGCATCTCCAACAGCTTCTCTAAAGTTTTCTTTAAAATGGGGAAGCAAAAGTTATATTCTCCAAATTATTTTTACACCAACTCCAACAGCTTCCCCATTTTGAAGAATCTCTTTTTTCCTCCAAAAATTTGGAGAATGCTGCAGATTTGGGGAAGCTTCCCCATTTTTTCTAGAATGCTGCAGATTTGGGGAAGCTTCCCCATTTTTTCTCCTCCATCCCTATTTTGGGGAATGAGATGAAAAATCTGTTGGATCAAAAATCTAACTAAATTCTACAAAAGTGAGAAATGGGGAAGCTGTTGAAGATGCTCTTACAGGCATAGCCAACTTAAATCCCACAGTAAAAAATAGATTCTCTACACTGTTGATTATGGAGAATACCTACAGTTAATTACTTTGGCTATCACTATTAGCAGTGGGTCCCACAATTATTATTTATATGATTTACATAGACGGTGTCGCTCATGGGATTCACAGATAAGTGAACAGATTAGATTGACGAGTGAAAATAGCACAACTCTCTATGCCATTCATGTTTTATACCGTGAAATTAAATTTTGTTACGATTTTTTTCAATGCTAGCCCCTCAAGTCTTTAGTGTTTTGATGACAGTCTCCCAAATCATTGATATTGTTGCTCTTGGGTCCCCCAGACTTTTACTGAGAAAACCCGAGTCTTTATTGCACCCCATCGAAACGAGGACCAGCTCTCGATTTTTATCTCATTTTAGAGAAATATAATTTTATAAAAAAATCTACAATGAAAAATCATATCAGACTAGCCTACAAAGCTTCAACATACACACTGCAAACGTATCTCGAGCGCCTGCTCTTCGAGCTCAAAACCTGCAACATCACTAAGAGCAAGGGCAGCAGCCTCCCAAAGAGGCTCTTAAGAATGATGTGACAAGGAAAAGTTCCCAACATGCTCCAACAAGCTCCCAAGGAGGCTCCTAAGTCTTAGTTAGTGGTGGGGTCCATCATGGAGCTCCTAAGAGCTCCACAAATTTATGGAGCACTTGGGAGCTCCTAAGGGGTGGGGGCCTACTAAAAAATATTTTTTTATTAGATTTATTGTTTTAAAATATATTTATAAAATGTTAGGGGCTGTTTGGTTGTTGTTGGTAAAGTTGTGTATTTATGACACAACTTGAAAAGTTGTTGTCCACCTCATCAATTTTACTTTTATATTTTTCTTTGTTTGTTTTTTATTCCATTGGAATCATAAATTGCTTGTTTGGTTTGTAAATGTAACTTTAATTGTTTGTTTGGAAAGTGTAAAAAGTGGTCCCTACTCAAATGATCATATTGGTTGGAATTATTTTTTATTTTTTTTCTGACTTCAATGTCAGTTTTCTCCTAAAATCATGTCTTTTTTTTATGAAATCACTTTACAAGCCATATCAGCATATGAAATCACTTTACACTATTTTCACAACTACAAACAAACAATTGAAAGTGATGAAAGCTGACATTGGGACCCACTTTTTTACACTTTCCATCCTTTTACATGGTAAAAACATACAAGCAAACAGCCCCTTAGAGGTAGAAGAATAGACTTTTTAAATAATATTTACGCTCCTAATTGGGAGTTTGTTGGAATATTTGTGCTAGTAGGAAGCTCCTAAGTGGGTCTCATGCTTGAGAGCACTCCAACAAGAGCTCCTTACTAGGAGATTGTTGCACTTGCTCTAAAACAACAACACAATGCAGCGCTTTTTCCCATAACCCACAATCCTCCAACTTGCCAACCAGCCTAAAAATATTATTGTTAGTTTTAAAATGAAGGAGACAGAAATTCTGAGGCGTGAAACACTTTCCTTAAAGAAATATTTGCCCCCACTTGATATTCAAAGTTGCTTCGGGTTAATGTAAATTTTCTTCCCAGGATACAACAGAAAATAAAAATTCCAGTAAGCAAATTTAAAATTTTCCTTAATTCGTTGTGAAACAAGTTTGTAATATTGCAGATGTTTTGATAGAAAAGATTTAGAAAAGAATTATTATTTTTTAGATATCTGAAAACATAAACTATTTATAGGATTGAAAAGATGCTTCCAACAGTCATTAACTTTTCAAAACACCCATTGGAGCAAACAGTCACTTTTCAACAGTCACTTGTCTTTTCATAATTTTTAAAAATTCAAAATAACATTAGAAATAATATATTCAATATATAATTATATATAAAAAAATAGAACATTTAAGTGGCTAAGTGCGTCAAAATCGCGCATTATTCGCCCTACCCGCACGCGGGTTTAGAAGCATATACTTTGATCCATTATTCAAAGCTCAATAAGCATTCAATGCTTTTAAACCTCTAAAAGAATGATCAAAATTCCAATGTGGGACTATCTTGTTTTTTTTAAACCAACAAATACTAACAATCATCACGGCTTCAAACATCAGAAACAAGCAACCAAAACCACTAGAAATAAAGATGCACAATCAAATGTTTACTGGCATGCATGCATTTAGAAAAGAAAATGGAAGTACCAGACCAAAGAGCGCACACAAAAGAGAAACTACACCTTTATTGTGACATTTTACAAACCATCCCTCAAACATACGCAAGCGCGATCAGCACTACAACAAACGCATATCGACATCGGACTCCCCTCTGCCTACTACAAATTAAAGAAACCATTCTTCAACGATATCATCTAAGAAACTGTCAATAACATCAAATGCGCACGCACCTATTGCACTTTTTTAGGTATAGTAGCCAAATCAAGAGCAGGCCCGTACAATTTAACCAAAGCTTGCACACACCAACCATGCCCGTCATCAACCATTGGCATCCTCACCTCGATAAAAGGCAAGGCTGCTTGCTGACTTTCGGGCACAAGAACCCCAGCAAAAACCCTGAGAACATTCGAAGCATCAACATCCATACACACACTGATCTCAACCGAGCCCTTTGGCCCCGGAGGAATCCCCATAAGCTTGAAATACCCTAAAATATGATTCTCTTCAGCCTTCTTCCCTTCTCCTTCATACACAACAATCAATGCCTCGGTCTGATTATCATTCGCCGTTGTGAACAGCATGTCCTTTCTTGCAGGTATCGCGGTGCTTCGGTGTATGATCGTAGCATATCCATCGCCATTTGCACGGATTCCGAGGCTCAAAGGAGTAGCTTGGATTGTCAGCAAGTCCAAGCTCCCGGATGAGTCGCTGATCCCAGAAGTGATTGCTCCTTCGAGAGCAGCTCCAACGACTGCTGCCTCTAAAGGATCGATACCCTGGGACGAACCATCTCTCTTGCATAATCCCAACACTAAGTTTCTAATTTTTGGGATTTTTGAGCAGCCTCCTACTAGTATAACATCATTTATATCTTCAGCAACTAACGTTGCATCAGCCAAACATTGAGCCACAAGTTTCTCACACTGCTCAAACACCAGAGAGTTAACTTGCTCAAACTCTGTGCGATGCAATGACTTGGAGGCTTTCAACTCCTCTCCCAAATCCACATTGATTTGGACACTGTCTTGGAAAGAAAGCTTATGAATTGCATCTTGAGCTATAGTACGAAGAACCCCCATCGAACTTATATTATTGACATTATTCTTCGAACTCAAATTCTCAAAATCCGGCACAAGATATCGCAACACGTTTTGTAGCATATCCTCTCCCCCAATTGCACTTCCTACTTGAGCTCTCATTTGAGAAACTCCACCAGCAGTAGCAGTGATGGCAACATCGCAATAACCTGCACCCATGTTAAAGATCAATGCGACCTTCTCAATTCCACTCCCCGTATTATCCTGAATTTGCTGCTGCTGCTGCTGCTGAGCATAGATAAGAGCCACTGCTGTGGGCTCTGGCATCAACCTGAGAACATTAAGTCCAGCCATTGCACAAGCTCGCTCGATCCTTGTCTGTTGAAATCGACTAAATGAGACAGGAATAGTCAATACTGCGTTCCTTATAGGACGTTTGAGCTGGATCTCAGCCATTGCTTTAAGTTCAACTAGAAATATTGCAAGAACTTCTTCCGGCGTAGTTGACCTCCAAACACCGTTAACTAGAGCTGCGATGAATGGTCTAACACCAATATCGAGGGTTTGTACTAAGAAAGGTAGGGTTTTACTGGCACGGACTACTGGGTCGGTGTCGATTCTACCAATGAGCCGTTTCATGTTAAAAACTGCACCTCCAGAAAATATTTCTTGCTCGGAATGAGGAAGCTCTTCGCTGATTCCTCCTGACGGGGCTTCATCTTTGAACATGACATAGGAGCGCATTAGCTTTTGGTTCCGAGTGTTTCTAAGGAGTTCAACTCTAGAACCATTCCATATTCCGACACTGCATTTTGATGTTCCAATGTCGATCCCAACTGCGAGGTCAGGGAAGGGAGGTTGATGTTTGTCTTCGCCGGTAGTTTCACTGTCTGATGCAACTGTGTAAACTGGCTCAGCCATCGTTTCCTGTAGACTAAAGGGGAAGGTTCATTAAGAAATCAGCAAAACAAATATATATTGAACTGTAGCTCATTTAATGATCAAGAAAATTGTTTGGTGAGGAAAATGGCAACTGGTGTGCTATTCACTGGTCATTTGGGTTGCTCCCATTAATACAAGTTAAACAAATTGATTACAATAAAATTAGCATGTACCTAAATTTTGCAAGATTTGTCAAGAGTGAGAAACATAAAATATCAAAATCAAACCGGTATGCTAAATGAAGAATTATAATCGGGGCCAGCTTGACCTACTAATCTGAAACTATTATGTAAATCCAAGATATCCTGCATTGTAAATGTTAATAAAAAAAGAATGATATTGATTTGAAGAGCTCACAACACTTGGTTAAATCACACTCCCAAACATAAATTTAACTTGCAAATTCCTGTACGCGGTTTTTTTTTTTAATTTAAGCCATGAATCCTATCACCCACTGAGAAACTTAGAAACGACACAGAGAGGTAAGGTTTGCATTTAAGATGTTGATTTTAATCCTTTTTATTATTACTGCCATCGTGACATGGCTACACTCCAGGAGAGAATGTAAGCAAACGCATTCATTGTTGAATCTCCATTTTACATTCCTCTTTTTTTCGCCGATCTGTGGTTTTATTCCCTGTTGTCGCTAGCAGGCTAGCTACCTATGAAGAATAGAGAAGCAGTAAGCAAGCCAAAAGGGCTCTCTGTGATACCATCCATTTGATAAGATTTTCATCAACCTCCATAATCTGTGAATATTTTCGTTTATTGATAGATGTTGGGACAAACCCGGGGTTCAATAAAGCATGGTCTCGGCGAATAATAGAGTGAAAGTAATAAAAAGAACATAGATTTAGGTAAAAACCCACCTAAATGAATTTGGGTAAAAACCATGAACAATGATAGAAAAATCCACTATAAGGAAAAACTTAGGAGTTACAATCTCTCTTTTGCAAGGAGAAACTCTCTTTATTTATTTTCTCTCACACTCTTCTATATGTGGAATTGTTTCTAAGATGAATTTTTTCTGAAGAGTTTTAGACTATTTATAGTAGCTGGGAAAATACTATGCACTAATTTTATAATATTATTTTACTATACAAATTCACTTTCGGTGTCTTGCCACTTTCGGTGCGAATTATTTAGTGGTGGGGTCCACGCCCTTTTTCATTGTCAACAAATATGGCTGACAATCTCCCACTTAAAGATTTGATTGAGTATCAATCATATATTCACACCATTCTTTTTATCTTACTAACTTCATGTTGCTCACGTCTCTGACAGACCACAAGAGGATCGACATCAAATAAATTTGTTAGTATTAATTTCTTTTGTTAAAAAACTTGCTAGATTATCTTTGATGTGAATTTTCTGCATATCCACTATTCCTTCTTCCGCTTTCTCACGAACGAAGTGGTATTGAACTTGAATGTGTTTTGTCTTTGAATGAATGACTGGATTTCTTGCTAAATACAAAGCACTCTTGACTGTCACAAAATAAAAATATCTTTTTTTGTTCATGCCCGAGTTCCTTCAGCACCATCTTCAACTATATCGCCTATTTACTAGCTTGTGTAGGTGCTATATATTCTGCTTCTGTTGTTGAAGTAGTTATAACTACATCTGACTGTAGTTTTGAAATTCAGCTTACAGCTCTGCCAGTAAGTGCAAACACATAATCTGTGATGGATTTGCTATTATCAAGATAACCTGCATAATCAGAATCAACATATCTATTGATAATAAAATCCGATCCTCCATAACATAATGCAATATTTGAGGTTCCCTTATTATATCTTAGGACCCTTACAGTATTCTAATGCTCTTTATCAGGATTCGTCATGTAACAACTAACCACTCCCACTGATTGTGTAATGTTTGGTCTTGTATAAATCATATCATAGCGAACATTAAACTTCCCACTGCTGATGCATACGGTACTCGAAACATCTCCATCCTCTTTTATTCACTATTAGGACTCATACTAAAAGATAACTTGAAATTAACAGAAAGTGAGGATAGAAATTGACTTACAATCTTGCATGTTAAAAGTACCACAAGATTTTCTTCAAATAATTCTTCTGAGAGCAAAATCTTCCTATTAATTCTGTCTCGATAAATTTACATCCCTAGAATCTTGTTTACAAATCCTAAATCCTTCATTTTAAATTCTCTAGCCAACTGTGCCTTTAACTCTTTTATACAATCTTTGTTGGGGTCGTCAACATACAATAATAAGATAATAACGTTATTTTTATAAAACCTCTTGAAATATGCACAATGATCTGAATTAAGTGTTGTATCTAAGGCTCATGGTGAATGAATCAAATCTCTTGTACCAACACCTCGACACCTGTTTTAGATCGTATAGAGATTTGGTTAATCTGCAAATCAAGTTCTTTTTTTCTTTTTATTCAAAACCTTTTGGTTGGAGCATGTAAATTTCTTCTTTAAGATCTCCATAAAGAAATATTGTTTCCACATCTAGCTACTCTAGATGTAAGTCAAATATAACGCTCACAGCCAGGGTATTCAGACTGTTGTTAGTCGAACTATAGGAAAAAATATTTCATTAAAATCAGTACTTTCCTTTTGAGCACATCCTTTTACCACCAATCTAGCACAATATCACTCCACTTGATCATCGCTATTTCGCTTGATCTTATAAACCCATTTATTTTCAATTGTATTTATTCCATATGGTAGTGACATAAGTACCCAAATCTTATTCTTATAGAGAGCTTCAATTCCTTTCTGCATTACTGTCATCTACGATGCATCTGTGCTATTTATAGCTTTGTAAAAAATTAATGGCTCTCCATCCTCTGTTACAAGACAGTATGCAAAATGAAGATGATAAGATAGAAAGAATGATGTGAAGATATGATTAATACTCAATCAAATCTTTAAGTGAGAGATTGTTAGTCGTATTTGTTGACAATGAAAAAGGGAGTAAACCCCACCACTAAATAATTCACATCGAAAGTGTGGCAGGCATCGAAAATAAATTTACACAGTAAAATAATATTATAAAATTAGTGCATAGTATTTTCCCAGTTACTATAAATAGACCCAAAACTCTTCAAAAAAATTCATCCCAGAAACCAACTCCACATATAGAAGAGTGTGAGAGAAAATAAACAGAGAGAGCTTCTTCTTGCAAAAGAGTAATTGTAACTCCTAAGTTTTTCCTCCTCATAGTGGATTCTTCTATTCTTGTCCGTGGTTTTATACCCCAAATTTATTTAGGGGGGTTTTCACGTAAATCTGTGTGTTCTTTTTATTACTTCCCTCTACTATTCACCGAGACCCTGTTCTACTGGGCCCTGGGTTTGTCCCAACATGGGGATTGCTCAAACATCAGGGTGCCAGGTTAGTTTGATTTTTCGCTAGACATACATTTGCACATCCCAGAGCCTTGTTACCCATTGTTTACCCAAAAAAGAACTAGAGAAATCTGCATACTGAAACTGTGCTGGCTAATAATGAAGGCCAGAGGTTGGTATTAGCTAGATATGACGGCTGTATAAAGCATCACAGTGAGCCTGACCTTCACTAAATAGGAATGAATCTCCAAGTTACTCTGATCAGCGTGGGTTTAAACCGTTGCAAAAAACATCTACTTTGGGATTTCAAATTAACAGCAGAAAGCCCCCTGTTTCACTGTATTATGTTACTTACAACTTGATCAAAATTAAAAACGCTATTAACAAATGAGAGATGCTCTGAGACTAACAACAGCCAACAAGTAGTTCGACGAAATGCTAATATGAGCATTTGATATGCCAGAATAACCTAAACGCAAGAATCACTAGCAGAGATCGAGAAGCCCTTAACCACACAGACACATCAAAATCTGAAGGGAGAAAATAGAACGAGAACAAAATAAAATGAAAAACTTACCGAGAGAATCAGTGAGCGAGCTTCGACCCTCAGATTAAAGCTGACGTTTTCGAACACGCTTATAAAAAAAGGGGAAAGGGGAGAGAAAGGCCGGGTTTGTTCTGGAGAGACCGAGTGGGGACTTCGACTGTTCGACAACGAGGAGCTCAGTCTCGTTTCGAGAAGTGTCTTCTGGGGGGCGGTTGCTTAAGGTGTGGTGCTCGGCGTGGAACTTCCTCTGGCTTTTGGCGACTAATGAACAGATGCCACGTTATCTGTAGTGAGGTTGTTGACGACGTGGATGGATTCAGATGGTCCAGGCCTGTGTTTTGTGTTTGGACGCTGTAGTTTTGGTGGGTGGGCTGGGACGCGGGTGAAATGAGCGCCATCAGCTGGAATTGCTGGTAACTAGCTTCTTGCCCTGGTTTGACCACCTAATGAAAATTAATTATGTGTATATTTAAAATTCATGGTTTTTCTGATCTATAACTCATTTTTAAATAATTTTTATTCATTTCTAATGAATGCTAATTTATCATATATGCATCAAAATTTATAATTTCATGAGCTATAACCCATAATTTTGAATAAATTTTATTTGTTTTTAACGAATACAAATTAATTATGTGTATATTAAAATTTACAATTTTTATGAACTATAATCCATAAGTTTTACAAATTTTATTCGTTTCTAAAAAAAAGAAAATTCATTATGTGCACATCAAAATTAGCGATTTTCATGAGTTCTAACCCATATTTTTATCATTTTTTCTTCGTTACGCATAAATAAAAATTAATTATGTGTACATTTAAAATTCATATTTTCATGATCTATAACCAACATTTTCTCATGAAAAATTCATATTTGATGATCTGTAACCCACATTTTCTTAATAAATGCTAATTATCTATGTGTACATTAAAATTTGTGCTTTTCCTAGGTTATGACCAATGATTTTTTATATATTAGTTTGTTTTGAATGGACGATTATTATGTGTACATTAAAATTTACGATTTTCATGAGCTATTACCCAAGATTTTTAAAAATATTTATTTATTTCTAACGAATGAAAATTAATTATGTGTACATCAAAGATTACAATTTTCATGAGTTATATAACCCACAACTTTTATCAATTTCTATTCATTATGTAGAAATGCAAATTAATTATATGTACATAAAAAATTTACATTTTTCATGATCTATATACACTAAATTTTAAAAAAAAAATTAATCATTTCTAATAAAAGCTAATTTATTATATATACATTAACATTTTTTATTTCAATTAGTTATTATCCATAACTTTTTTCTTCTTTTTATTTTAAATGAATATAAATTTTATTATGTGTAGATCTAATTTTGATGAGCTGTAATCCATGAATTTTGACAATGTTTGGTCATTTATAATGAATGCAAATTTATTATCTATACATCAAAATTCACGTTTTCATGATATGTAACCCATGATTTTTTTAAACTTTATTTATTTTGAATGAATGCAAAAGTTATTATGCATATATAAAAATTAGTAATTTTCATGAGTTATCTCCCATGATTTTTATAAATTTTATTTTTTTAATGAATATGAATTTATTATGTGTACATAAAAATTCATGATATTTTTGAGCTCTAACCCATGATTTTTATCAACTTTTGTTCGTTATGTGAAAATACAATTCATTATGTGTACAACAAAAATTCATGACATGATTTATAACTTATAATTTTTTACATTTCCAACAAATGTACATTTTTAGGTGTACGCAAAGATTTGCGATTTTTATGGGTTAACCTATGATTTTTTTAAATGTTTTTGAAAGAATTTCAATTTATTATATGTACATCAAAATACATAATTTTCTTGAGCTGTAACTCATGATTTTTGTCAAATTTTATTCACTTTAAATGAATGATAATTTATTAATTGCATGTTAAAAATCACTAACTTCATCAGCTATAACCCATGATTTCAAATAGTTTTTGTTCACTTCAAACTAATACAATTTTATTATATGCAAATTAAAGTTGTGATTTTCATGAGTCATAACTGTTTGGGTCAAAAGTTGCCTTTTCCATTGTTTTCAAACCTGTTACACCGTTTATCGATTACAAGTTCAAACTGAAAAGAGAGTTGATCTTTTTATAAGATCTTCTTACAACGAAAAATAAAGATTACAACTTTATCAAACAAAACGCAGCAGTAGTTTATCTCCCGCTGCTTTGCGTGGGATCTTTGCCTGTGCCGGGGACGCGTTAGTCCGTGGACCACCGCAGACCAAAGCCGATCGACAATATAATTACGCTCTTGTTTCACGAAGGAAACAATTGCGGAAGCGACAATCACGACCAAGCGAGATTGTGGCTCTTCTCGAGATTAAAACCAAGTTTAATCCGGAGGAAAGAAGGGAAAAGAATCACAAACCTTTCGAAGGGGCTTTCTTTATGAAAGTGTTCGCCAAGCTCTGATGATTCTCCTCTAAAATTGGTGACTCGGAACTGTGCGAGTCAGCATTTGGTGACTCGGAACTGTGCGAGTCAGCATTTGGTGACTCGGAACTGTGCGAGTCAGCATTTGGTGACTCGGAACTGTGCGAGTCAGCATTTGGTGACTCGGCACTGTTCAAGCTTCTAAGCAATGTTTCGTGATATTTCCAGTTTCTTTGTTTTGCGTACGCTTCGTCGCCTTGCTGATTTTGGATGAATTCCTTTGACTTGGATAATAATGTTTACGTCTTTTCCTTGTCTTGCACTGTGTTTGAGGACCTATGGGTAATTTTTAACGCCTACAGATACCCCCTCCAAAGTGTTTCAGTCTCGTTTCTTTTATAGAGGAGCCTGAAATACTTTGGATATGATAGGCTATATTTGCAGAAGGACCTGACATGGGTTTCATTTCTTGACTCCTTCAGCCCTCAATCTATTCAGAGTTCTGTCGAATAGATGAAGTTTTTACGGCTCTTACCGACTACCGTTCGAATCGGGCTTACATGCGGATTGTCTAAATCCGTTCCGCATGTGACGTTGTGCTAAAGTTGATTCTCTTAGTGAAACTGGTTTTCATCTTTATCTTTATTATGATTCGTCATTCCGTTTGAAATGATTGACCATAATACTTTTAGAATTTTTGGTAAATTCTCAGCCATCAACGGGTTTGATGAGCCTTTACCGACTACCGTTTGAGTCGGGCTAGTATGCGGATTGTTCAAGTCCGTTCCGCATGTGACGTTAAGCTAAAAGAGTTAACCCTTTTAGTGCTACGATCTTGAATACGTAGACTTCGTCTTTCTCCTGTGAAAAGACTAAACAGCAATGTGTATGAGACGTTGACTTAGGATTTTTGGCAAATCCTCAGCCTTCAACGGATTTTACGTGCTCTTACCGACTACCGTTCGAATCGGGCTTACATGCGGATTGTCTAAGTCCGTTCCGCATGTGACGTTGTGCTAAAGGAATGAACTCCCTTAGACTTGATGCTACGACTTCGAATACGTAAACTTCGCCATTGTTATGGGAATAGGCTACCCAGCAACGTGTTTTAGACGCTGACTTATCCCTACTTAGGCTTCGGGATAAAATTCCCCAGAATCGAACTCTGGTGTCTTTTTCTTCGGAGAAAGACTAAACCGGCAGCGCGTGTTAGGCGCAGACTTATCCCTGCTTAGAATTCGGGATAAAATTCCCTGTACCTGTGAGGCAGATTTTTGGGAGTTGACAAAGGTGGTGTCTTCTCTTGGGGCAAAGACGAACCCGAAATGGGAGAGGAAGAATTTTATATTCTATCTCCCGACACTGAAGAAGAAGAATTTTATATTCTATCTTCAGCTGGAAAGGAGACTCGAGGTGGGATCTCCACCCCCAGAATCCGGAAAGGTGAAACTGAGAGTGGGATCTCCACTCCGAGAATCGAAAAGATTCGGATAACCCTAACTGTCGGAAGGTTTGATTACCGAACTAAAGATGAATTTCTCGTTTATCGAGAGTGAATTGTGGTTTTGGTCCTAACTGTCGGAAGGTTTGACCAAGCAGGAGTTTGAGGTGATCCTAACTGTAGGAAGGTTTGATCACTTGATTTGAAAGTGGACCTCTCGTTCATTGGAGGAATCGAGAGGGGGATTTTGGTTGTGGTCCTAACTGTAGAAAGGTTTGACCAGGTGACAGATCAAGATTTATTATATCCGGACTCTAACTATGAAAGTGTTGAGTGCACGAACATAGCGTAAGTTTGATTGGATTAAACTTGATCGAATTTAACGGTCCCACCGTCAATTAGTCTGATCGGTGAGAGATTTAGTGTTCATCACTTTGTTCATGTCGATCGGGTTATCCCTAAGAATATTAAAATTCTTTTGGGAACTTCTCGTTACACGAATTATCCACTCCCAGCTTCGGGTTATCCCTAAGAATATTAAAATTCTTTTGGGAACTTCTCGTTACACGAATTATCCACTCCCAGCTTCCTTTGCAAAACTGGGCATGGTATTGTACTCAGTTGGGTGTCCGAGTTATCCTTAAGAATATCAAGCATGGTATTCTCCAGGAACTTCCCGTGAAAGAAAGGAAACAGTTTAGACTCATATACCGGTTGGAGTATGTAAGGAAGCAGTTTAACCTCATGATACTCTTTGGAGTTTTTTCGTTCTTATTTGGCTTATCTGAGCGATATGACGCCGGCTTCAACCAAGGTCTGAATGCTATTCTTGAGAGCAAAGCAATCCTTGGTGGGATGAACGACCCTCCTGTGGTATGCACAGTACTTTGGGTCTGTAGTGTTGTCAGCTTCCTCCTGTTTTGTGATAGGTGGTAGCTTGATCTTGTCGCTTCCAAGGAGGGATTCGAAGATGGCTGGAACGTCTTCGTCCTTGAAAGAGTACTCTTTTTGGAGTCTCGGACCCGAAGTCTTTTGCTGTTTTCGGAGTTGCTTTTGCGACGTCTGGTTAGCGTCAACAGCTGTTGCAGGTGATTTGCCTTTGCCACGAGAGGCAAAGTTAGAATTCGGAGGCTTAGTTGTTGATTGACCCCTCTCGGTTTTCTTCCTTCGGAGGAATCGCTCAGCTTGCTCCCCTCGGACCTTCAGATCCTTCCACGTTTTGGACGGTGCTGTTCCCATAGCTTCTAATACATCTATGGAAAGATTATTATGGCACGTCTGGAGTATGAACTCCTCCGTGACCGG